AATTTAACATAAATAGAAATTAATACAAAAACAAACAAAAAATTCGGTTGTATCGAGGCTGAAATACCCTTTACTAATATAAAAGTTTCCATACAAGAAATTGATTGTGTACGGTCAATTGGTATGACAGCTATATGATATATTGACTCGATCTCAAAAATTTTTTCGGAGTTTGGATCATTAGCCTTAGAAAATAACCTACGATGAATTTGGTGACGATATCTCATATATAGTGGTTCGATTTGAACTATTTTTCCTAAGATTGTAGCTATAATTTTGGTAATCAACCATGCTAAATTTCGGAAAAACACTTCGTTAAGTAAAAAACTTTTCCATATAAGGACATGAATTCGATCGTTCGGTTTGCATGGCAGCTATATGCTATAGTGGTTCCGATAAATTTGCAGCTACTTGAGGAGAAAAGTGCACGTGCAAATTTCAGGTCGATATCTGAAAAACTGCGGACCTAGTTCCCTTATATGCAGACGACAGTCGGTCATGACTAAATCGAACCAGGAAATCAAGTTGATCATTTATGTTATACTATATAGGGCCTCCGTCGATTTTTTGGTATTTGCAAACTTCGTGGCGAATTTCATGGTAAAAAAGGTGAGATAAAATAAAAATTTCTAAAAAATATTTTTCAAACAACATATAATAATATATTTCATCAGTTTTAAAAAACTTTGTTTTTAATTTAATATTAAATTAATAAAAAGTGGCATAAAATCACATCTAAATATCTGATTCTTCAGATTTATATCAATAAAGAACGGCATATACATACATATATGTATATATACATGATTAGTGAACACATTCTTAGTAATATTGAAAGATGAAAATATGAAGTTTTTTAGCCTACTTTTGGGCGCCATCTATAATGAATTTACTATAAATATATATATTTGTATATAGGTAGGTAGTTTAGCTACAAATATTTTTAGTCGAGAACAAGAATTTAGAAAAATGCGCTGTCTAATATCTAAATCGGTTTTGGATTTAATTTTTTTTTTGTAATTACTAACTTTGCTCCACTCTGCCGGTCGAAAAATTTAGTAGGCTTGCAGGTAACTAGATTTGGTCTTGATAGCACTTTTCTGTATTAATGCTATGCCTCTGTACGCTTTATATACTCAAAAATATATGCTTAGTTGCTACTACTACTATCTAATCATTTGCATTATTTTTATAAATTTTTATTTTTATTATTATTGTGGATT